GTTGAACATCTTGAGAGCAGGAAGATTAAAGGTGGCAACTGAACGTTTTGTAAGAAGGTGAAATGCAATCCCGTAAAGAAAAGGAACATTATGTTTTTGGACCAAGGGGAAGAACTGAGGCTTTTGGGTCTTTTCAGAAGAACGTTTCTAATTTCCCTGTGCTCAGTGCGGTACAATCAGATCAAAACACCAAGATGTCTTTTAATATTGGCTGCTGTGTGCTATGACCAAACTTGAAAATGAGACCGAACCACTGCGTGGTCTGATTATGGTTTCAAATTGTTTGACCTTTCTGTTGCCGCTGTGAACAGATACATGATGGAATGACAGGTCTGTAATTTTAAAAGCTTGCTGCAAATGCGTTTGGAAGTGAAATATTTGAGCACAGGTCTTCATCTCCTTATCCCATCTCATATTCTGAGCTATTTTGGGGCTCAGGTTAGCATTACATCGACTTTACTTTTTAATGTCAGCGGTGCTGGACAACAATTACAGCGTGTGCAATTTTTGGTGCTCAAAGCAATTGATGGGAGTTGAACAAAAGAATTCCATCGTGCTTTGATATGTGTGCCTTGATGGAAAAATCAGTGGCTTCTTGGCATCTAAATGACTAACTTTACACTCATTGGGCCCTGATTACTCATAGTGGCAGGGAGTTTATGAGGTGCTGGATGAATGGATCCTACAGATGCCGTTAGCTTTAATAACAGGGAACTTTTTTCAACAAAGGTGTGTGCTAGTAAAATCAATTACCGTTCTCATAAAACATGTTAGCAGCTCACTTGTATAACCTTGTAGGCTGAATGTGTGCTGATGGGTTCTTATTAAGATTCATTGTTTGTAATTCGTAGAGCAGCTGTTCCTACCAGGAAAGTACGTTTAATGGAGCTCAGGTGAAGCACAAAAACATCTGAATTCTGCTTACATTATTTGTTGAGAAAGAGTGCTTAACTTTCCTCTAACACTGCATAAATAGGGCAATGTTACAAGGGATGTTATTTTACGGTATGAAAACATCTACGTCTGTGCACCTCCAGGCTTGAAAGTTTTGCCTGATCTTAATTTCTATATACATACATTTCTGAAAACACAGTGTTGATCCCTCCCATCCTGTCTTTGCACACACATTTTAAATTCGACTCTAGCATCCGTCTTCATTATAGAATAGAATCATAGAATCATAGAATCACTAAGGTTGGAAAAGACCTAAAAGATCACCCAGTCCAACCGTTCACCTATTCCCAATAGCTCCTACTAAACCATGTCCCTCAACGCAACATCCAGTCTTTCCTTGAACACCCCCAGGCTCGGTGATTCCACCACCTCCCTGGGCAGTCCATTGCAGTGCCTGACCACCCTTTCTGAAAAGTAATACTTCCTCATGTCCAGCCTGAATCTCCCCTGCCGTAGCTTGAAACCATTCCCCCTGGTCCTATCACTGATGACACGAGAGAAGAGGCCGACCCCCAGCTCACTACAACCTCCCTTCAGGAAGTTATAGAGAGCAATAAGGTCTCCCCTGAGCCTCCTCTTCTCCAGGCTGAACATTCCCAGCTCCTTCAGCCTCTCCTCATCAGCTCTGTGTTCCAGACCCCTCACCAGCTTTGTTGCCCTTCTTTGAACACGTTCCAGGGCCTCAATATCTTTCTTGCAGTGAGGGGCCCAAAACTGGACACAGTACTCGAGGTGCTGTGATAGGAGAAGTGTTAAGTGCTCCTTGGCTTAGTCTTTAGCTAGAGGGGAGAAAACGTGAAGTTCAGAGAAAATGAGTGCAGTGGCTTTGAAGCTGTTTGTGTTTCCATTTGGAAGATTCAAGTGAGAGCGCTCTGCCACGTCCTCAAGTGGTTGGAAAAGACTGGAAATAGACAGGGCTCCTTTCTCCCTGGGTCTTCTTTAACCTCTTGCATCACAGTGCGTTAGCAGATGTGGATCAAGTCATGATTGTGTGCTTGCTGGGTCTGATGGAAGCCCTCCTCTGGACTCTAGAGGTCTTTGGATGGCAATCTCTGGAACAAATTTTGTCTGAGGGTTTTAAGATATTATAGCTGGAAGCTGTTCTGAGCACTTCTATGTGTTCAGTTGAAGACACTTTTTAGGGTGTGTAATTAAAATAAAGGAAAGGCTACAGTTACTAGTAAAGCTTTGAATGTGTTGGCATTTTATAGTTCCTTTGTTTCATGGGAGACTTAATCAGAACTGTTTACAAATGGGAAAAGGTGAAGTCTTTAAATGTTGGGATTTACAGAAACCTATTAAAGTTTACCACTGAAAAAAAAGGGTTTTAGGAAGGAAGGAGACACTGCTTTGCTGTGTTTTCGAGATTATTTCAAAAGTTCAACTTGATGAATACATTGAGAAATAGTTTAAGAAATAAATATGGAATGCTGTCACTATTTTAATGTCAGTGTTACTGAAATACAAAGTAGCATTATCAGCTCACATAATGCATTGACATAAAATAAGCAGTATGTAGGAAGTGGCAAAATTCATGCTGTGATTGGAAACCTTAACTTTGACCTTGCTGGGTGATTTTAACTTCAGCTCTGTGTTGGTGCGTTTGCCTTTAATCTGCAATGTAAATCAGCGACTGTTTTAAATATTCTGACTGGTGAATCACAGATGCTTTTGCATTCAGTTCAGTGTTGTTGCAAATAATAATGCACAGCCTCACTGGAAGCTTTTTTCCTTGCTGGAGTGGCGTATTTACCTTCCCGTGGCTCATTGTGGAAGCATCATTGCCTTCTTACTGTAATGTCTTGCTCTTCTTCAGTGCTGCTTGGCCACATTACTCCTCTCATTAGAGCAGTCACTCTGTACAAGATTGTCTCATTCGTTCTGTCACAGTTGCTTTCTTTTATGCTAGAGCACCTCTAACCACCCACAGAAATCCATCCTTTTGGATTCACAGAATTGTACAGTGGCTTGGGTTGCAAGGGACTTGAAGATCATCCAATTCCAAGCCCCCTCCATGGGCAAGGTTGTGACCCGCTAAATCAGGCCCCAGCTCAGGCTGCTCGGATGGGAATGGATGGCCGCCTTCTCAATCAGCAATATCCACCTGTAACCTTGAGCTGACCCCTCAGGGCCAAGGGGCCACTTTGGAGGAGTGCATTAAGCAGACATGCTGTTGTCATCATGAGCACAGATTTTATTTCTGACATCGCATCCGTTGCTCAATAGGCTGCTCTGTCAGCCCTGGCCATTGCTAAAACAAAAGTAAAGCTCTGCCCAAAACACATGCTGGCTCTCTCAGGTTGGGCAGGTGAGTCATCCTGGCTGGGAGCTGCAGATGGCAGGGCGGGGGGAAGCCCAGTGCCCCCAGTGCATTGTCTGTGTCAGAGATGATGACAGATTCACAGGGCTGGCCAGATGACTTGCCTGCTCACCACCAGGAAATGGTGTAAGAACGTGCTTACAAGAAAGAGGAGCGTTATACAGAGTGCACAAAGAGTTGTGGCAAAAGGTGCACTCCAGCCTTTTAACCTCTGTGATACCCACACGTGCTCCAGGGTGAGCACTGTAGCGCTGGGGTCTGCACTCCTCTGCTTCTGTCAGCCTTTGGCTCCCACCTTGGATACTTTTGGAGGAGAAAGGCAGGATTTGACAGCTCTGTAATTTTGTGACAGCAGTGTGGGCTCATCCCATGTTCCCCGGCTTGTTTATTTCTGGAGCTGATGCCTTGGTGGTGCCCATGTGTCTGTCTGGGTGTGTACCAATGGCTGAGGCTGCTGATGGCATTTGCTTCCAGCATCAGGGCTTTACTCCCATCAGCAGCAGGAAACCTTCCAAAGTCTCCAGGTTGGGCTGGGGCACTGCCCCACTGTGATGGGGCTCTGGAGCTGAGTGGCAGTCAACACCAAGACTAGCACAGGGCTGGCATAGCCAGCTGTCAGCTCAGCTTAAAGAACTTGAATTTCCTTTTGTTACAGTAAGAACACTGTGCTATAGAGGGATCGAGCTGTAGATTTCAAATGTGCAGTAGTCTAATCCAGTGCTTGTAGCTGCTGTTAGAAAGAGGGCCATGCCATCCCTTAAGGCTGCTTAATGCTTGGTTCGGAATTCCTTGCCTGTTGTTGGAGGGTGGATGGTGATAGGACAAGGGGGAATGGTATCAACTGAGACAGGGGAGGTTTAGGTTGGATCTTAGGAGGAAGTTTTTCCCCCAGAGGGTGGTGAGGCACTGGCACAGGTTGCCCAAGGAGGCTGTGGATGCCCCATCCCTGCAGGCATTCAAGGCCAGGCTGGATGTGGCTCTGGGCAGCCTGGTCTGCTGGTTGGTGACCTGCACACAGCAGGGGGTTGGAACTGGATGAGTTCCTTTTCAACCCAGGCCATTCTATGATTGTCTTTTCTTTTTATTATTGTTATTATTGCCATTTTTAAGTGATTTTAATTGCTGTTACTGAGGTTTAATTTGAGAAAAAAACCCACAGCACTTGCTGTGGAGTGTAAGCTAGCGTTGTTCAGTTTGCATCTTTATGCTGGAATTTGGTCATAGGCGTTAGCAGGAGATACAGTTTGTCCTCCTATTCTCTGGGATTGTTCAGAACATCATTGTAGAATAAATCTGTTTTTCTTCATTGCTATTCAAATGATGTGTCCCAGACACATTGATTAATCTCTAAATGTGGCCTGCTGAGATTGAAGATAAGTACGCTCATTGCTATTGTTCTAATTCTGAGCAGAGTCTGTTACAATAAATGGAGCAGTATCTATTGAATTCATGCTGAAAGGTAGCAGTGAAGCAAAGACTTGATTCATTGCATTATCATGTGGATTTTTTCCTTTAGCAACTTTTGCTTTAAATCTATGGTATACTCTTATTTCTAAAAACGCTGGAAACTGTTAAATGCTGGGAATTCAGTGCAAGCCTGTCATCCCTCAGTCACACACTTACAACCGTGTTCTGCAGAACCTGTCGTGAAATTTGCTGGGGCACCGAAGCCCCAGGAAATGTCGTTTGTTTCTCTCTGACTCACACTTTCCTTCCACGTTTGCAGGAGTTCTTTGAGAACCCAGCTTTTCGCCCTGATGGCATGAAGCTCTACCCAACGCTGGTGATCCGCGGCACCGGGCTGTACGAGCTCTGGAAGACTGGCAGATACAAGAGCTACCCCCCTAGCACCCTTGTTGATCTCGTGGCCAGAATCCTGGCTCTGGTCCCACCGTGGACGCGTGTGTACCGTGTTCAGAGGTAATTTTCTGTGGTGGGCTTTGTGTATTGATTTATTGCACTTGGAGGGATTCTGACTTTAATTACAGCAAGATCTGACTCAGCCTGTTAGTATTTTTCAGTCGTAATCGTTAATGCACTAAAGATTTTTAAACTGCTTCCTATCTATTCAGAATGGGAAAGGCCATATAGAATGAGAAGCTGTTTAAACTGAACTGCCTCTCTAATGCACCCATAAACTTCAAGATTTCTGGAGGCCCCATTTTCACTGCCAGTCAGATGAGCATAGGATGTGGCACACGTAGTACTCTAATGATAGTGATGGATAATTGCCTCTTGGCTGTGGGCGAAGTTTCCTATATTTATTACAGGAGCTACAAGACATTTCATTTTTTTTTGGCTCTAAAGACTTCCTGTCTCTCCCCATGGGTGTTGCAGGGTTTTCATGAGTATATTACAATGGTGCTGTTATTTCCATTCAGAAGCCTCGCTTCCCGAGGCGATAGGTGCTACTTGTCTTAGCGCTGTGTTTTCAGTGTGGGGTCTTTCTTGGATTATTTTTCTTCTGTTACATCATACGTGTCTAATATTAGGAAGGGAAGCTATAGAGTACTTAACCTGGTTCTGCATGTGCAAACAGTACTCTGCTGGCTTACAGCTATATGAGCTGCAGACAGTGCCAGTGCCTGGCTCTTTGAGTATCAAAACCATAGAACAGTTTAATTGGAAGTGTCCCTTAAAGGCCACCTGGTCTCACTCTCTTGCAGTGAACAGGAGCACCCACAGATCCACCAGTTGCTCAGAGCCCCGTCCTGCCTGACCTTGGGTGTCTCCAGGGATGGGGCATCCACTGCTATCTGGGCAGCCAGAGGAGGAAGTTTCTGGTGTCTTGGTCTGTGATATAAATAAGCCACTGTTGACTGCAGCTTGGAAAAGCATTCTTTTAGGATGCCTTTTTATATTAATGCAGACAGACTTTCATAGGACCTTATCTGAAATAATACCCATCTTCAAGAAAATGAACTGCAGGGGCACGTCAGTTCTTTGTCTGAAGGACAGATGCAAACAGAAAATCTCTGCAAACCTATAAGAGAAGGAAAATATCACTATAAGGAATGGGAAAATTGATTTGAGCACAGAACAAAATAGGAAATAGCCCTGCATAAGGCAAGGTAGGGAGCTGGGAATTTCCTGTCAACCAAAGGAATGAGATTCTGGAGCAGCTTTGCAAAGTTACCAAAGAGAAATAGGAGAAAGTATGAATGTAGGAAAGCTTGATTGGGTTGATAAGCATGGTGGTGAATCCAGCAGTCTATTAACAGAGACGTGGATGAAACTAGTGGCTGCAGCCAATCTCTAAAGGATGTGGTACTAATGAAGAAGGCAAAACATGTCTTATAGGAAACATCTACTTGTTGTTGCCTCAGGCTTTTCATGTCAGTCACAGAGGCATTATTAAAGACAAACTTCTGTCTTTTTTCTCTCTGCATGTCTGTCTTCCTCTCCCTGGTGGATTCCGGCATAGACAGAGTGTCCCATTTGTTCATGATGCTGTTACCATAGCGCGTGTCTGAAACAAATGGCTTTGTTCTTAGAGGGCTGCAGGAGTTTGCTGCCTAGCAGATCTTCCTCTGAAGAACACAGGCCTGGAAGAGTGTCTGCTTGGCACACTGGTTTCCTTGGGCTTGACAGTGGGTCTCTCCAGTCACCAGCAGCAGCCTCCATCCAGCTGTCATCCAGCTGTCAGTTGTTACGCTCCAGCAGAATAACTGTTTCCTTGCTGACTGGCTCATGTTATCTGAAACCTGTTCTTGAGGATTACAGATCTGTACACCTCCAGTGCAAAGTCCAAAATCTATTACTTTGATCTAAATTGCTTTCAGGGTCGTTGTGTGGCTCTGCAGCACAATAACGAACAAAGCCAGATTTCTGAAATGTTTGTGACCTCTTCGCAGCACTGCTTTGCTGAGGGCTGTGATAGGATGAAGGGGAATGGTTTTAAACTAAAGGAGAGGAGATTTAGATTAGTTGTTAAGGGGAAATGTTTCACTCAGAGGGCAGTAAGGTCCTGCCATTGCTGCCCAGAGAGGCTGGGGATGCTTCATCCCTGCAGGTGCTCAAGGCCAGGTTGGATGGGGACCTGGGCAGCCTGAGCTAGTGATTGGCAACCCTGCTCACAGCAGGGGGTTGGATCTAGGTTGTCTTTGAGGTCCCTTCCAACCCAAAGCTTCCTATGATTCTATGAAAACACTGTGGAATTCCTTCTGTTTCATTAAACCAAATTAAAGGGGTAGCATACTCAGTGCTAATGGCTGGTTGGAGGGGAATGTTTCTTCATGGCTGCTTCGTAACTGTTGGAGATGCTTAATACTGTATTTGTCCTGAATGTTTGTGAAGCTAATGTTTGTTCTGTGCTCAAATCAATTGGCACCTAAGTCCTTTGTGTGGAGAGGTGTGAAATGACAGCAGCAGTTGCCACATCTTGAGATATTTCCTTTAGTGAATCTGGGTGTTTTATGTGGATGTTATTTTCACCGAACCAGTGGGGGCATGTAGGTATGAATTAAAATAAAATACTTAACTGAGATCCTACAACAAGTCATGGCTTAGAATAGTAAAAATATCCCTGTTCATTGCAGGGGAGTTGGACAAGATGACTTTTAAAGATCTCTTCCAACTCAAATGGCTCTATGATTAAAAAGGGACTTGGACTCCCACCATCTGTTCTAATCAGCTGGTTAACAAGTGTCCTAAGTGATGCAGAATATTAGAAAAACAGAAGGTGAGATAGGCCTCATTGAGGCTTCTGGCAAATGGAACACTAACGTTAATAAGGTCAGGGTGTAATCCCCCATATCCCTCAGTTTGTTTAGCATTTGAGCAAGTCCTGAAACTGCTAGGACAACAGTTTGGTGTCTGTTCAAAACAGGCTGTTATGTGTGTGCTAATGATGCACCCAGGGTATTTATTTAAATGCCCTACCCTGATTTGAATTGGCGATAGAAAACCTCTTTCTTGCTTACTTTTCCTTAAAAAGCTTATTTTTCACATTCATATTTTAATCTGGCTTGCTCCCTAGCAGGCAGATGAGAGATGCTCAAGTTACCTTATCTTGTAATCTTTCATTTATTTACGGTAGATTATTTACTCTTTCATATGCCACTCCGGATTCAGCTGAAGACTTGGTTCTAGAAGATGTCAGGGCATTTTATCTGTGTCCCTCCAGGGGAGATGCATACAGTCTGACTTCTTGGAGTCGTTCCATAATTAGAAGAAAGGCGTTTTAGTTAGATTATCATTGTAGATCTAACATGCCCTGATGAAAATGCTGTTCTCCTCTTGTGTGTCCTTTAGTCACAATGTGAAGTGCTCATTTCCTCTAATTGAAGCTCTTTGAAGTATGTTGTGTTGGCTCTATGGTTTCATATTTACTCAAAGAAACTCACTGAATAAATGAACTGGTTAGCTAATTGTATTTTGCCTCAGCTTTTGGCACAGGAGTGTAAGAGGTGAGAAATGTGTCGTGTATCTCTTGCTTCATAAGAAGAATGTAGCAAGGAAAATAGGATGGGGAAGTAGAACCCAAGACCCCTGGGCTCAGCCTCATGCTGGAGAAAATTGTACTGAAATCGAAGTGTGATGCTGCCCAAGGGAGGTGGTGGGGTCACCATCCCCAGAACTGTGGGGATGTGGCACTGAGGGACGTGGTGGGCAGTGGGCATGGTGGGGGGGTGGGTTGTTGTTGGACTTGGGGATCTCAGAGGTCTTTTCCAACCGTCATGGGTGCATGGTCCTGTGCTGAAATGAGAGGAGATCCCTGGAGTCTGAAGCACTTTGTTGGCATTCTTGATGGTATTGGAAAATTTTCCTTTTCTTGCCCCCTTGCCAAGTGTCTCACACTTCTGCAAACTGAAGCAGCACAAAGATGAAGCCTTTAGGACCCTTGAAGACCTTTTCATTTTATACAGCTGATGCCAAAACCAGTAATTGTTAATGATTTGAATGCAAGTCCTCAAGGAACTGAATAGATCAATTAATACGTTTTACAGAGGTCATCAGACAGCTGCTAGATGGTGATGAGTTTCAATCACTACTGAACCAAGATGGATTAAGCTAATTACATTACCAATTCCCTGAACCATCCCATTCTCTGCGTGTTTTTTGTGATACTCTGTTCTTTTCTTTGTCTGTGAAAATATTCAAAAGAACAAGAGGAGGAATACTGACCAAGAAATGTATATAAGCCACATTTGAAGACCAACCTGCTGTATAACTTACTGAAAGACTTTCACATGTGTACAGTCCTTGTTTCTCTGTAGAGGATCAGAAGTTTTTAGTCGTGCAGTTGGGTGGTGTTTCATTAGAAGTGCCACGGTGGAGCTTCAGCAGGAAGGGGAAGAAGAAGGGTTTGCAGTTGCTGTGGAATACTGCATTAGACAGAAGGGGAGCATGGTTGGGATGTCCCACAAATTGTCATGCTTCTTTTTCAGCTTTATTTGGTTGCATAAATCCTCTGTTTCCCAGAAGTACAATCTGACAGTGAAGGCAGTGGAGAAGCCAAATCTGCTGTTCCTTTCCAATTTCATTTTAGAACCTCCCTTGGAGAGCTCGAAGAGAGGGTCTTGCCATTTGCTGACCCACTGATTTACGTTCCCACAGGCAGACTGTGGGCTTTCTGGCTGGACTTTGCTGCCAATCATCAATTCAACAGAACTCTCTCTTTTAAGCTTCCCAATATAAACATGTTGTAATTCTGATGAACTTTCCCTTACAGTCATAGAGCTCAGAAAGACGCAGTCTGGTTCCCAGTTGCTGATCTTCAGCAGAAGGCGCCATGAAGAGTGACTGATCTTGAGACCTATGCTAGGCATGGGCTGGAAGATCTTTTTTTTTTCCCTTAGTGAAGAGCTAAAGGCAAAATAATAACCTATTTCTCAGGGTTGTAAAAGCCTACTTTTGTCCTCAGTCTTTTTTACTAAGCTTTCTCCTTCCATTTTCTTCCTGCTTTCAGTTAATTTTCCCCTGTGTTATTTCTTGTTCAACCAAAGACTTGAAACAAATGTAATTCAGATAAGTTCTGTGCTCTGCTATTTGGGATCTTGGCCGAGGTGACCATAATGGTGCTTTATGGTGAAAGTCTGCTAATGCAGTTGCTTGAGGTTGTTTTGTTTTCCTTTAATACACAGAGACATCCCAATGCCACTGGTGAGCTCTGGAGTGGAGCATGGGAACCTGAGGGAGCTTGCCTTGGCCAGGATGAAAGATCTTGGGACACAGGTAAGGTGTTTGTCAATCAGTATTTGGGCAGAGCTGCTTGGTGACATCACACAAAGTAACATCACTTTTGAGAAGAAGTGATCAGAAGACACAATAGGAGCCAGTTTTATTGCTGAATTAGAACAATCTGCCAGCAGTTTTTTAAAAAACACAAACAACCACCTTGATATTTCAGTAAAGCTGGACTAAAACTTGCCTATCTCTGAAGGTAATAGTTTGTAATATTCTATTTTTTTTTTTGACAGGAGGAAACCTTTTAAGCTAGAGAAAAGGATTTATTTTTAATTTATGCTATTAGAATTTCTCCTTCATTTCTTTTTCCCACGCATGCACTTACTTGACTGAACAATTGGAAGAAAAGCTCTTAGTCTGAGGCCAGACAAATCTTCCAAGAGACATTTCAGCGCAAACAAATGAGACTTGATATTCCTGATATTTCTAAGGTCAAATAAAAATACGAGCAGGGATGGGGAGAAGGAGGGGAAGAAGGAATTGCATTTATCTTTTAAGTCAGAGGCTGATAGGTGTACTCAGCCTTGATTCGCAGTACCCCACATTGCCTGCTCTGACACCGCTTGCTGGTTGAACCTCTCTCCAAAACCCAGTCATCAGCCACAGTTTGCAGGTCCTGTAACCTCCAGTGAAGTTATGTCCAGGCTCTGCCTTTTCTTGGGACAGCCAGCTTGACAGACAGAGCATCACACAAACCCTGTGCTCCTTCTGACTGTTCCAAAGGGCTTTCATTGCTTTGGTGTCCTGGTGCAGAGGCAGATCCTCATTGCAACAGTTCCATGCATCTGTGATGTGACGGAGTGCTCCCTCCTTCTGTCTCACCTTTCCTTAGAGAGGTTTTTAAGGCATTCCTACATCCAACTGAATGGGAAAGAGGCAAGAATGGGGTGACCTATTCTGTAGTGAGAACCTGGCTTTGCGAGGAGGGAACTGAAAGCCAAATCCAGATGGGTGGCCATGTGTGCTTCTGGGGCTACTGAGCGAGTTAGATTTTGTGTAATTCCAATTGAGGCATGGGGGATGGAATGGTTTGGGGGAAAAAAAACAACAACAAAACAAGTGAAGGAGCGGTGTGGGACAGTGCAGTAATGACAGTTTTTGCAGATGTAGCCTTTAATCCTTTTTGCTTAAATACAAAGGATACTGAAGAAGCGACAATAAAAGCTTCATCTCTTAATAGCTCCACATAAACTTGTGCTGCTGAACCATCTGATTGGTGTTTAACGTGGATAGTCCTTACTGCCTTTTCCATCTCACTTGGATCTTGCAGCTGCAGTGCAAAAGATCAGCAAATAAACTGCAGTGTCTTCCTTCCTGCTGGGCTTTCTTTATCTACTTAATCTCTCCTAACCTGCTGCCCTGGACTTCCTCCTTAAATCATTCCTCACAATCTCTCTCCAGTAGCAGGCCAAGATTTGGCAGAGAGCTTTGCTGGCCACAAAAGCTCCTATCCCTCCTCCTGGCTTTTCACTTCTAAACCAGGCAGGGGAGACAACCTCCGTGCTGCAGCAAAGCCTTTTCAATTGAACTCTTTAGGGCTACTAGTGAACCCTTCCTGGGTTGGGTGCTAAAACCACATCATTTCATCTGAACTTGATCAAGACCAGCTGGAGAAGCAGGAATATCTGATCTATGGCACTCAGCTGAGCCCAGTAACGGAGCTGACCCATTAAGGGCTTGTCAAGCTGGCAGTCTTTGCTGTTAGAAGAACCAAATCTGTAAAAAATTGCTGCTGTGCAGATGATTATAGATTTTAATTTAGTGAGGCAGAAACACTGCAGCTGGTGGAGTGAGAGAGCAGTCTGCTGCAATACAGCTTGAAATATAAGGTACTGTTGTGATTTTCTTGTATTGGAGGAGAAAGCGATAAATATGCTTTGTCCTTTCATCCCTGAGCTTGGAAAAATAGAGAAGGCCAAGGCAAGGACCTTCGGGAATTCAATATTCATAGGCTCCCTAGCGGAGCTGAGCTGGCTGTGGCAGTTCTGGCTTATCCCATCTTTGGTATATGGCTTAATGAGTTTGTTTAAGGGGTGGGGATCAGTTTATGCCAGCACCACAACTGGTGTCTGTGAATGCTGGAAAGGAGTTACTCATGAGCAGCTTTGCTGGAGGTGCAGGGTGCTCGGCCACTGGGTGCAACTGGAGATACATGAACGTTGGATTGAGACACTGAGTTTTAGAACATCTTCCCAGAATATGTTGTCCTGAGGTTCCTCATGAAGTGTTCAGCCTTACCGTGCTGTTTGTGTAGTCAAAAGTCATAAAGCAGAGAAGAGTTTGTCTGCTCTAGCATCCTGGTAGTCCAGTGAATCCCAGTTTCACCGTAGCCCACAATAACAACCGTGCTTCTTTTCCTGCTATTTGGGAGATAGTTACCTTCTGTTGACAATGGAATTCAAAAGCATTCAGAGAAGAATGAGGCATGAGATAGGGCCGTGCTTGTGCTGGGTATCCTGAATTTCTGTGGGAACTGGATTTTCACACGCTCTGTTCCTGTCTCAAAGTCTGGCTTTTGTAAGTACGCAGCCGGGGAGGCCTCATCGCTGATAGAATGATTACAGCCCGGTGGCCAAGGTTGTCTTCAAGTGCTGCAGCACCTGTGGAGTGAGCAAGCCTTTGAAACAGCTGCTTTGAGTAAAAGTACTGCTTGGCTGACAAGAGTTGGATTAACCTTCACTTTGGATGTTAGGATAAACCTGCTAAGACGTGCACGTGTTTTGGTCTTTGCAGTAGGACTGCTTATGCTGTCACAACTGTTCACTGATGTGAGTGGCTGCCAAATTACTCAGCTTCCACTGGTTCTGCTGAGATGTACAAAAGCTTATGCAAGATATAATCCATCTCAGAAGCACTGAGCTTGGAGGCTTTTCTCCTCTTCTGTCTGACTTCTAAAGGAAGAAAGATTTTGGTTGTCTTTATTTTCTCTTTTGTTAGTCCCAAGCATTTGTGATGCACCGTGGAAGCCAGATTAGCATTAGACTTGGGTAGGACCTCTACAGCAGTTCTCGTGTGATCATTTAAGAGCAATAATAGGCTTGTTGAAAATAGCAAAAGCATTATTTAAAGACTTTAGCACCTTAGCATAAATTTGCCAATGTTACACCTTTCAAATGTAGGTTAAAAATGAATTATGCCAAAGCCTTTCTCTGTTCTTTTGTTCATGTCGACTTCCCCTCCGTACCCTAGTAGTTGTGAATCAAAGGGTGCATTTCCTCATGATCCATAATGGTTGCTTAGTGAAGTTATTTTTTACCAGCATGTCTTTCCTTTTAGCATTAAGACCTCTTTCCAAGGTGTATTAGGGTCGGATTGGTGAGCATTTTCATTTCAAATTCATCTTTGTAACTACATACTATTTCAGCTTAATTTTGAGCCCAATGGGTGGCTGGAAACCTGTGCATTTCAGAGCCTAATGTATTTGTTCTTTGTGTTTCTTTCCTTTTCTTTTCCAAGTGTCGTGATGTAAGGACAAGAGAGGTTGGAATTCAAGAAATTCACCATAAAGTGAGACCATATCAGGTAGGTTTTGTCTCCTTTCTAGGAGCTTGCTTCAGACACAGTTTTTTATGTGCGTTTGAGGTGTTGGGACCCATTTGTTGCACATCCATTCCTGTGGTTTGCCTTTGTAGTTGGATCCGATTTTCCATTTATTTTCTCAGCATGTTTGGATGTCTTTTCTTTAAGTGCTGTCACGTGCTGAAATTTATGGACCACCATGTTCAACAAACTGGCTGTAGTCACCAGTTATTTGAGTATTTGCACTACAACTCTTTCTTTTGCTTTTCAACCTTCCCTTTTCTCCCCCCTCATTTAAAAACAACAACAACAACAAAAGATTTAGAATGTACCAAAACCACTGTACATGCATACTGAGCAGGAATGAATATTTAGCAAGATGAATTCACAGCCTTTTGTGGGAAGGCTGTGTTTATGTAGGCAAACAGTGCGTGTATAAATCCACTTCTGCACGTGTACGTATATATTTCTGAGTAGATCCATTTAGCATATGACACATATGCTGTGTTTTTCCTTCCTAAAATAGCCCACATAAAGATTACTGTGCTTGTTTTATAGAAAGGAAAATATGTGCTGCTGAATTTCAAATATCCAATTCGGGAAACCAATTCTGTGTCTCTGATTACAAGAAGGGATCTATCCTTCTGGAAGGTAGTTAGGATGTCCATGGCCATGTATTGGACTCAAGGGGATGAGCTTTCTAAGATCACATTGGCTTGGGATCCACAGAGTACAGTCATTCAGGTTGGAAAAGACCTCTCAGATCCCCAAGTCCAACCCAGCCCACCCCACCGTGCCCACTGCCCACGTCCCTCAGTGCCACATCCCCATGGTTCTGGAGCACCTCCAGTGACCCCACCACCTCCCTGGGCAGCTGTGCCACTGCACCACTGCTCTTTTGGAGAAGAAATATTTCCTAATATCCAACCTGAACCTCTTGTGGCACAACTTAAGGCCATTACCTAGATATGTGTATGTATATAGGTATGTATGCTGTGGCCAATCAATGCAGCATGGAAGTGTATAATGATCCCTGATAAATTATCTTGTTCTTACCAACTTTTGTAAGAACTGAGGCTGTGCAGACTCATTTGTACATAGGCCATTCAGCCTTTCTGCTCTCTTCCACTTATCTGATCTGTGGCCACTTCACAGAACATCTTCCAAAGATGCCCATTTTCATCAGTGATCTGAACTGTACATTTCTTGAATTGTTAGCAAATAGCTTATCATAGGGTTTTCAAAGCAGTGTTAAGTTGAATATTCCTTTTGTTAAGCTCACCTATCCGAGTGGCAGGAGGATGTCATTATGTAGTCATAGCAAAATTTGTCATGACAGCAAGCAAGAGAAATATTGTGGAAATGGTGTAATTTTTCATGAGCTATAGACTAATGACAAGGTATGATGTTTTCTTGGCTTTGTAAGTAAACAACACATCTTCTTGATGAGAGAGGCTATCATGTCAGAACAAAAATGAATTAATTGTTTCCTATAATTAGTTGCACTTTATGCAGCTTCTTTCTGCTAAGGATCAGTAGGCTGTATGTATTTTTGTAATGGTGATGGTGTGTCTGCTTTTGAAAGTCTTTGAAAGAAAAAAATAAATCAATTTGGAGTAGATTACTTGCCCATAGCTGCTTATTTACAGAGCTGTCTCTGAGCTCCCTTTTCAATTAGTGGCGTTTCTCCATAGCAGTGGAAGGTACTTGCTTGCTCTCAGAGTGGTCAAAGCTGTGCAGCTCTGTGTAATAGCTGTAAAAGTGCTCTGGTGAATTGTCACTGTAAAGAGATGTTGGACTGGCAGTTTTTGAAGGGCAAGAGGCAGTAACACTTCCTGCTTTAACACTCATGTAGGTTTGTATCTGTAACAGGTAGATGCTACTGTTTCTGCAAAACATGTGTTTTTTTTTCTTTATTAAGGTAATGATCTTCATGTAGAGTGAGAGCAAGGCAGATTTTAGAGCTCTTTTAGGTTGAGTGTAATCTGCAGTTGGGTTTTCCCTTTATTTCTCAAGGTAAGTTTGGCAGTCTACCAATGGATATCCCGTCCCTGGAGGTGTTCAAGGCCAGGTTGGATGGGGCCCTGGGCAGCCTGGGCTGCTATGAAATGTGGAGGTTGGTGGCCCTGCGTGTGGCAGGGGGTTGGAGCTTCATGATCCTTGAGGTCCCTTCCAACCCAACCATTCTGTTATTCTGTGAAAAGTCTGTGAATATGGTGGATGTCCATATCTACCAGACAACCTGGAGGTGACCCAGCCCTGGAGGCTGACTTTGGCCACGTTTCAACCAGTATCTATCTCAGAAGAAAAAAGCTTTGACCATCTCATGATCACTCCAACCTCTTTGAGGGGAATTGTGTGGGGAATACAAAAGATTTGATTGAGCAGGGACTTCTCTGATTCTCAGTTCATGTTGTGTGGTACGTGCTATACGATGCACGTAACGCAAAGCCTGCTGGTGGAGGTTCCTATAGGCTTGGTTCACTTTTGCCTACCAAAGCCTTTTGGATGGGCCAGGGCATCCGGGCACTACTGAAGAGCTAGCAACCACGCCACATTTTCTGTATTTTTTTTTTGAGCTTGCTCTCAGGAGAAATCAAAAGTTTTCCAGTCTTGCCATTTTGAACTCTCAATATGACATTTTCTGCTTTGTTTTTGGAAACAAGCATTGAGTTGCGGTGCTTTTCCTCAGCAAGTTCCCCATATGACTTGAACAGCAGAACGTGGTTCTTAAAAACCCTCGTGCTCTCCCATTTCCCTGTATGTTTCCATTTTCCTTGTGGCATTAGGTGCACACCAGCAGACCTGGATCAGCCTGTGCCAGCTGTCCTCAGTAAGCTGGAGCGTAGTTGTGCTTGCAGAGAATTTGGCACGTTGGCTGACATCTGTTTGGGCACTTACCCCATGAGCTGTACGTCAGTGTCGAAATGAGCCCTGCTTCCGTAGTCAGTACAGGATTTAATTGCCAGTTGCCTTCACCCAGGCTTTGTCATGGAGCAGAGCAGGCAGGAGACAGGATCCCTTATGGCTTTTCTGTAAACAAATCTTTAATTCATGGGTTTCTGTGTATTAAGGGATTTGTAGAAGAAACACAGAGATCCTTTGCTTGAGTTTTTGTAGTGGTACTGGGAAGAGCAATGGCGAGGTGTACACAAGGATCTCGCACTTCATGGTTCAACAAATCCAAATGCAAGATCTTGCACCCGGGTCGAGGCAACCTCTATTGCCAACACAAGCTGGGGGGTGAAAGGATTGAGTGCAGCCCTGCTAAAAGAGACCTAGGGGTACTGGTGGATGGGAAGCTGGATGTGAGCCAGTACTGTGTCCTCACAGCCCAGAAGGCCAGCTGTATCTTGGGCTGCATGCAAAGCAGCATGGCCAGCAGGGTGAGGGAGGTGATCCTGCCCCTCTGCTCTGTGCTGTGAGGCCTCACCTGGAGTACTGCATCCAGATGTGCAGTCCTCAGTGCAGGAGAGACGTAGAGCTGTTGGAGTGCATCCAGAGGAGTGGCACAAAAATGATCCCAGGGATGGAACAGCTCTCCTATGAAGACAGGTTGAGAGAGCTGGGGCTGTGCAGCATGGAGAAGAGAAGGCTGCAAGGTGACCTGAGAGCAACCTGTCAGTGTCTAAAAGCAGAACTACAGAAATGAAGGGGACAGACTCTTTAGCAGGGTCTGTGGTGACAGAACAAGAAATAAGGAAAAAGTATTTTACAGTGAGGGTGGTGAGGCACTGGAACAGGGTGCCCAGTGATGTGGTTGATGTCCCGTTCCCGGAGACTTTCAGAGTAAAGCTGAATCAGACCCTGGGCAACCTGATCAAGCTGTGGTATCCCTGTTCATTGCAGGGGAGTTGGACTGGATGGCCTTCAGAGGTCCCTTCCAACTCTAAGGATTCTGTGATCAATTCTGTGTGCATCATCAGGGAGTAACTGTTGGATACACCAGTGTCACCCTTATGCACGGGACATCCACTGGTATTGGCCATTCACATTTGAATTCCTAAAGTTGAAGGAGTGTCTCAAAGTGATGGTGCCATAGTGATGTGATGGTTTTAGTTTTGCTCATGGGTTGGTTTTTGAAGCAAACGCTCTGATCATTCCCTGCTTAGAAAGCAATGGGAAGCGCGGGGCCCTGATGCCTTTCACATAGAATTAGAAAGCACCTTCCATGAGCACACTACTGTACACCATACATGAATGGGTGCTTAGTTCTAGGGGTGAGAGTAGAACTGGAAAACCCCAAACATGTACTGTGGGGTCATGAGGTCCTCAATCCTGCAGGCTAGGTGGGCGCTGCTACTGCTCATCTGATGGGCAATGTGGGAAGGAATGTTGGTCTGCTTAGCAGCTGGGTGTTGCAGGTGGGCAAGGGAGCCCCTGCAGCAAGGATGGGTATGTATTCCAGCTATAGCAGCTCAATTCAGAGCACGAATAGAGTGACTCATCATGTCACCACAGATGTGCCTTTACTATCATCAGTGACAGGATACATCAAATTAACTGAGTGAGAACTCTACTACAAAGAAATGCAACTACCATTGTGTGAGATTGGATCAGGTCTCATGTTGCTCTAAATCTGAACTTCTGTAGTTTCTTGGGTCCTGGGGCTGCTCCTTAGTGTCTGAAAAGAAGTTTTTTCCCTTCTTTCTGCTCCCTTCTCCATCAGTTATTCTTTATAGCTTCTAGGTGCTCTGCAGTACCAATTTCTTCTACCCAAGCATGATCTATATTGTATTCTCCACAGTCAGTCAGCCCTCACCTTGCTTTTCCCTTCCACTTGTTGTGATCTTCAGTACTGCCTTTATCTAGATAACTATCAGAACTGGTCAGCTCTCGGGGTACCTGTTGGGGTGGGTTTGGTGTCTCCATCTGAAGGAGATTCCTGCAGATTCTATAGAAGGTACTTGTGTAATTTATGATGTGGTGCAAGGAATTCTGGAACTCAGTAAGTGCTCAACACTGTTTCAGATCCACTCCTGTTGCAGTTTGCACTTGTAGTTACATCCAGTGTGTTTGCTGGAAGGAACCAATTGATAGTTACTAAAGTTGGCTGCTTCACAGACACCTCAAGTCTTTTCTTTTGCAAAGCAGCAAAGACATGGCCCTAAAAGCAGGTCTGATGAAGGCAAATGCAGCACTACTCACTCTACGTTAGTTAATTTGTCTTTACAATGGAAATTCAATTATAGCAATCCCTTGGTTACTGGAAAGAGTTGCAGAAGCTCCAGTATCTTAAAAAACCTGCTTTTAGATTGCTGACTTACCAACAGGTGGCCATGTGGGTTACCAGCCTTTCTGGAAAGCATGCAAATAGGCATTGAAGACTAGTTCAGTCCCACTGATAAATACATTTCTATTAAAGTAGTCCATGTCTTTAATATGACTACAGGAATATCAGTTCTTACCCAGTATTGCTAAAATCCATCTAGAATTAAATTGGCCTCTAAGAAAGCACTTCATGTTTTCTCTGAATCATAATAGTACACAAAATTGGTTTTTGCCTTTTCAGTGTGTTGCTAAAGTATTTTAACAGGTTTTTCTTCTTCATATTCTTCATTACTTCTTCTCTTTGACCAGATTGAATTAATTAGAAGAGATTATGTGGCTAATGGTGGCTGGGAGACCTTCCTGTCCTATGAAGACCCAGAGCAGGACATTCTCATTGGCCTCCTACGACTGCGAAAGTGCTCAGAAGAGTCCTTCAGACCTGAGCTGAAGGGGGGTGTTTCCATTGTGAGGGAGCTGCACGTGTATGGGAGCGTGGTCCCAGTGAGCAGTCGGGATCCTTCCAAATTTCAGCACCAGGTACCTCAAACCATCTTTATTTTTCATCTGTACGTCCTGCTCTTCCCCACTACTTCCAGTATAATTGGAGAAGGACCTTCATTCATTGTTTGGATTGTAGTGTGCTTCTCCATCTCCAAGCAGTTGGAAGAGAAGGTTATCAAGACTAGTTAATATGAATTCACCATGGGGAAGTTGTGCTTGATCAGCCTAGTAGCTCTCTATGATGTCCTCACTGACTGGATAGAAGGGAGGAGGGCAATGGATGTTGTGCACCTTCACTTCAGCAAGGTGTTTGATGCTCTCATAACATCCTTGTTATGAAACTTAGAAAATGTGGGATACATGAGTGGATGATGAGGTGGATTGAGAACTGGCAGGCTGACAGAGCTCAGAGGGTTGTCATCAGCAGTGTGGAGTCTGGTTGGAGGCTGTTCTCCAGGGGTCAGCACTAGTCCTGGTCTTGTTCAGCATCTTCACTGATGACCTGGGTGAACGGATAGAGTCCACCTTCAGCAAGTTTGCTGATGATACAAAGCTGAGAGGATTGACTGACACACCTGAAGGCTGTGCTGCCATTCAACAAGGCCTGGACAGACTGGAGAGTTGGGCAGGGAGGAACCTGATGAGGTTTAACAAGAGCAAATGTAGAGTCTTGCACCAGTGGAGGAATAACCACATGCACCAGTACAGGCTGGGGGATGACCTGCTGGGGAGGAGCTCTACAGAGAAGGACCTGGGTGTTCTGGTGGACTACATGTTTGCCATGAGCCAGCAGTGTGCCCTCGTGTCCAAGAAGACCAATGGGATCCTGGGGTGCATTAAAAAAAGAGCATGGCCAGCAGAGCAAGGAAGGTGATCTTCCTCTTCTATTCTGCCCTGAGGATGCCACATCTGGACTACTGCATCCAGTTCTGGGCTCCCCAGTTGAAAAAAGACAGGGATCTCCTAGAAGAAGTCCAGTTCAGGGCCACAAAGATGACGAAGGACCTGGAGCATCTCTGTATGAGGAAAGGCTGAGTGACCTGGGACTGTTCAGCTTGGGGAAAAGAAGACTGAGAGAGGGATCTGATCAGTGTTTGTAAATATCTAAAGGGAGGTGGAAGGCAAATGGATGCAGCCAGGCTCTTCTTGGTGGTGTGTAGCAATAGAACAAGGAGCAATGGCCTGAGACTTGTACATAGGAAGTTCTGTACAAACGTGGAAGAATTTCTTTACAGTAAGGGTGATGCAGCACTGGCACAGGCTGCCCAGAGAGGCAGTGGAGTCTCCTGTGGTGTTTTTAAAGACTTGTCTGGATGCTGATCTGTGTGACCTATTGTAGGGAACTGCTTTAGCAGGGATAGGACTCGATCTCTTGAGGTCCCTTCCAACCCCTGCAGTGCTGTGATTCTGTAATAAAAATGCAATTGAATTTGAGCCCCTTCTTGCATTTCACGTGCTGAAATCCTGCTGCTTCTGAGGTTTTGCTGCTGTGATAGTGTTCAGGCAGTTGCTACTGCTCTGACAAAAAAAAAAGCATGGCTGAAAACTGCCTGCCTTACTCATGTCTGTACAGTGTGAGAGCCCATCTATGCTGGTGCTCATTTGGCTTTCGAGCGTCCCTGGTTCTGAAGTGTGTTTCCTTTGATATCCTGTACTGTACATCAGACTTCACTGCAAAAGTAAAGCGGAGGGGACGTCTCCACTGTGTGGGTGTATTTCCTTCTAAAATGGGTCTTGTTCAGTAGAGAAATTTCACTTCTGAAGCCTGAAGCAGTTGCAGATGGGAAGGTGAGCAGTTTTGAGGCCTGCCCAGTTTTCTTTCAAGGAACCATTTATTGAACAAAAGAAATCTATAATCCCTATTACCGAAACGGAAGAAATTCAGCTTTGGTTCTGAGATGTTTCCTGGTGCAGGTGGTTTGGAGAGGCTTTTGAGTAAAGCCTCTTAGTGATGCCCGATGGTTTATTTTTGCTTCAGAGCCACTTGTGAGGCCATTTCATCTGTATCTTAAAAGCATGTGAAGAATGGGCTGGAAAGCTGTGTTTCTAATTCCTCACAGCGAGTCGTATGAAAATTGCACATTATGCCTCTGCGGAGTATAACGTGCTGTGGCTTGCAGGGAGCAAAAATGGGAATTACATTTTGCCCTGGTAGATGTTGAACCTTTCGAGTGAGCTTTTAAAAAAGCAATCGGTTTGTCCTCTGTGCCAGAACTGCTCAAGGCTGATGTTTTAAATTAACTTCCTTGTATTTATTAATCATTCCCTGAGTATATGTGCATTAAGATGCAGTTTGGCTAGACGCTGATGACGTTTAGCCGTGAGGCAGAGACTGTTTAAAAACAATAATTAATAAGGGAATAGCGAAGGCATCTACTGTAAAATGGCTAACAGTTCAAAATTTTGGAAGGGAAAACTGGCCATCCAAAGTATTAGAGAATAATTTAAAAAGAAGTTGCCAACTATGAACATTAAAATAGGCTGGAAGTTGGAATGTCACGGTACATGACGCACTGTTCGTTTGCAATAGTCGGTTGTCGGGACATTAAGCAGAAAGAGTTCTTTGCAGTTGTGGGGACAATTTCGGATTAGAACAGCACTTCAGAAGATTTCAGTGTATTACTTAAAAATGCCTGTAAGTGTTAAGTGCTTTTTGAATTAAATCGCATCCGCTTCAGTTTCAGCGCAGCCCGAGTCTGTACATTTTGTCAGGAAAACAGATGAACAAAGAGCCAAGTGTAATTCCTGCATCCTAATGTTACAAGTGAATTAATCCAATCAATTATGCCCAGATATATAGGACAACTAAGTTAAGTTAAATAGAGTGGAAAGGCTATTCCCTTGTTTCGAAGCGTTGTTTTGATGGCAGTAGTGCTCATGCTGTGCAAGATTTCCAAATGTAAATAGAGGCATGGATCTGATTCAGAATATTAACGTGGTCTTCTGCAATTCCTTTTGCTTTGGCACCTTCCTTTCTATGAGCTGAGCCTCGTGGCTGTGCCCTGAGCTACGGAGAGTGGTGTGGTCTGCAGAAGGCACGTGGTGCAGGTTTTGAAGATGGCCCCAGGTGGGTCCTGTAGATGGTAACAGCTCCTGGAGGGCGGTGAAAATAACAGCTATGAGGCAACAGGGCAGTGATGGTACCAGAAAGCCAATGGTTGTATCAGAAATGCCCATGGTTGTATCAAAAGGCCAGTGGTAGTATCAGAAATGTTAGTGGTTGTATCAGAAAGTCAGTGGTTGTATTGGAAAGACCAATGGTTACGTCAGAAGGGTCAATGATTATATCAGAAAAACCAATGGTTATATTGGAAAGGCCAGTGGTTATCATGAAAGGCCACTGGTTATATTGGAAAAACCAACAGCAGCTCTCTGGCTCTGCCACAAGGTGCCATGTTGTGGCCACATCCATTGCAACTGATGTCAGATTTGCAGTTCATGAGCATATGCAACTGCATTCAATGTCCGTGCTCTGGATTTGTTTAATTCCCAAATAGAAACCCAGGTATAGCAAGACAACTGTCAGGATGGGTGATGGCGCGATTGTTGTTTGGTAATTTGAACAGGACAGACCTGCTCAGTGCTAACTTGGCTGGCACAGGGTTCAACTTCGTTCTGCCTCTGCCCCTGAGAAGCTGTCAGGCACTGGAACTGCCTGTGAATAATTTCACAATTAATAAAGAAACACGAAACCCAACCCAGTGGTGAGAAAGCTGCACCGTGAACTTCAGCATTAGCATGTCTCTGTACAGTGCTCCTCCACTAAGATTTTGGTCATTCCTGGGCCTGTACATAAGAAGTCTCCTGGAACTGTTCTGATGCTTGCAGTCTGACCTTGCTTCATGCTTTCTGTTTTTACAGAACTTATATTCTTGTTTTTTTTCTTCTACTACAGGGATTTGGCATGCTACTCATGGAGGAGGCAGAAAGAATAGCCAAGGAGGAGCACGGGTCATGGAAAATTGCTGTCATTTCAGGTATCTTTGCTCTATCCCCCCCCTTTTTTTTCTCTTAATCTGAAAATAAATCCACTACAACTGATGCCAACTGCTGTGACCATTGAAATGAGCATCAGCTTAGTAACTGAGTTGAATTCCAGCCTGGCTCCATCCAATACAACGCTGCCGTGGTGAGCAGCGTGCCAAAGGATGCTGCAGGGAGCCATCCTGCTTTGGCTGCCAAGGAGCCTTGGCCATGGGTGCCTTCCTGCTCCCAAGGCTGCAATTTCTGAGCTCACTGCTTCGGCCTCGTTGCAGGTTGTTACTGCTGAGGGCTCACTTTCCAGTGCTTATGAGGATAGAAAATTGCCATCCTCCATTTTAGAGCCCTTCTGCAAGTGCCATCATTAGGGTGGACAGATGTGCTTTTAGGATACATTAAGCATTATCGTGGAGAAGCAAGCTGTATAAGAAAGCTGCAGCCCTTTCTCCTGTTTCATTTGCAAGGCACTGTGACTGAGGAGGGCAACAGCAGCTCATGGTGTGCGTGTGTGTGAAGTCAAGGTCAGGACTGCCTTTGTGCATTGATTTATTCTGATGTTAGTGGCTACTGTGGATATAGAAAGTTGTTACAGGCATATAGGTAACAGAGGAGGCTGGCCAAGTAGTGCTAAGGAACTTGGCCAAAAGAGCTTCAATACAGACCTTATATAAAAATAATAATCCTCTCTCATCCCACCAAAATAAACCACTGAGAAGCAGAAAACCATCAGTTTGATCCAAGCTGCTGAGTGCTGAATGAAGAGCCTGTGTGTGTGCTTGCTGCTGGGTCCTGTCACGGGCTGTCTGCAAACTGGAGAAGGCCATCTCAACAAGTGCCTGCAGTGAGGGCCACATCTGAGCGAGGGTGAGGTGCAGGTCATAACCTGATGCTTAGCATGGAGATGTGGCCCTGAGGGACATGGGTAGTGGGTAGTATTGATGATGGGGCAGCAGGTGGACTTGATGATCTCAGAGCTCTCTTCCAACCTTGATTCCATGATTCTGTGAGTGTGCATGGTGATGATGGGTTGGCAGTTGGACTTGATGGTGTTAGAGCTCTCTTCCAACCTCACTGACTCTGCATTCTCTGGATTCGTTGCTCTTAAGACATAAAGCAATGTTTCTCTATTTGCTGCAGCAGATGAGTCAGTTTGAATCTTGTGTGGCTGAGAAATGCCCATACCTGGTATTTCCTCAAGAAAACAGAGAAAGTGGAAACGTTTTCTTTTGTACTAACAGCATCCTGACTTGGGATGCGTGGGGGAATGTGTGGTGGTAATCCTGCTGCGAAAAGAACATTTCGACAAGAGCAGAAAATGTGCAGCAATTACTAAAGAGAAAAAGAGATCTGTTACTGCATTCGTGGTACTAATTTTACCTGTAGTTTAGCAAACTGATACACAGAATGTTTTCTTTGCGTTGAAATGCAGTGCCAGGAGTCTGCCTTGGTTGCATGTAGTTTGTGTCGTCGCAGGAAGATCTCAGCTGTGATTTTTATCTTCATTTTCCCCCAGACTGTAAAGTACAATATGGTACAGTTTGTCTTTATAACAGAATACTGCAGCATCTGCAAAGAGCAGTTTTCCAGCTGTTTCCTTGGAGATGTTGTCGCTTGAATTTCAACTCTCCTCTAAGTTTTATCTGAAATACAAATGCAGCCAGAAGTTCTTTCTCCATTGGAGGATGAGCTTGCTTTTGCTACTTCTGCTTTTCAAATTCATTTTTAATCTGGGAACCCACTGCATCGTCTCCAACATATTGCAAAATTTTCACTGCCATTTGGAGAGAAACACAGAGGAGAAATCTACTTCAAAAATATCTCTCACAGGGCTCTTTCTCTCATTTTTGTACTGCATATTTTATTAATGCTTTGTTGCAGTGGTTTATTTAATGGTGTCCTTTCTTCAGCAGCGTTTTCCAGCGTGGCATTTCTTGGCTACATTAATACTAGTTAATTAAATAGTGTCAGAACACCCAGTGTGTGGAATGTGGGAAATGGGTATATCAGGGGGCTCCAGGAGTCATAGAACTACAGAGTGGTTGGATTTGGAAGGAGCCCTTATAGGCCATCTGTCCCACTCCCTGCACTGAGCAGGGACACCCACAGCTCCATCAGTGCTCACAGCCCCATCCAGCCTGACCTTGGCTGTCTGCAGGGACGGGGCACCACCTCATCTCTGTGCAACCTGTGCCAGTGCCTCACCGCCCTTATTGTAAACAACTTCTTCCTTGTATCCAACCTAAATCTCCCCTTTTTGAGTTTCAAAACCATTTCACCTTGGAAATGCACTTAATTCCGACAGATAAAGGTAACTTCAAAAGGAAACGTTTTTGTACAACATTAAAAAGAAGTCAAAAACAGGAGAAAAAAAAAAACAAAACAAGGAAGGAAGAAAGCCCTATGGCTAATGTGCATTCAGTGAGGTTGCAGCAGAAGAGTTGCCATCCTGCCCAGGCGGCTTGCAGCCCTTCTGACAGCCACCATTCCTGCCCCCTGCACCGTGTCCATCACATCCTCACTGCTTCCGGACCTCTCTCCTCCACAGCAGCACATCTGAACTGCCAGAGCTCATTTTCTTTTGTCCAGATGCCCTGGGGGGCTCCAGGCTGCTTTCTTCCCACGTGTAACCCAGTCAGTGTTCTTAATGACACATTATGTCACGTCCCCACAAGTGTGGATGTCCTTTGCTCAGTCAGGTGCCGTGTCTTGCACTTTGCCACATCTTGCTCTGAGGGGGGCTGAGATTCCTCCCCCCTCAGCACATTTTCACCTTCACTATCAGGCACTGCTATCAAATCACTGATACAAACCTGCAGCTGAGAGACAAGCGAGTAATTTACGATTGCCTCCTGATTAAGATCAGTGGGACCGTGATAATCCGTTTGGGGTGACTGATCCCAGCGTCTTTCTCCTGAGCCAGGCACCCACAATCATGAGGCTGTGAATGGAAATGAAACCAATCCCACCCATTTTCTGCAGTCCCCACAAGAGATGAGGTGGTTCGTGGTTGTCGGTGACTCATCCCCCAGTCTGTTGGTGCTGCTCGAGCGTACTGTCTCATGCATTTAAGGAAACTGCTACTCCTGCCTTTGCCTTTCGCAGTTACAGATAATAACAGAGGTTAGGAACTTTCTAAAAGTAAATCTGATGCATCATACTGGTGTTGAATTCACCTGAAAGGTAAAACATGAACTTGCGTGTAAATCAGAGGGAAAGTTCTAGGGCACGTTTGATGGTACTCTAAAGTATCTTAATTTGCTCGTGTAAATAGCCCTCTGGTCTCCCTGCATGTAATAAATCACTCAAGTAATCAGCATCCCATACTTGATGTTGGATGTTGATTTGTGGGCTGCCTTGGAGCTTGCTGACTGGCAGGGTGTGCTCTGGGGGTCATAGGATGGAGCTCTGAAGCACTGCAGGAGGATGGATGGGGTTCAGCAGGGCTCCCAGCAGCTCTGCTGCCATCGGGGGGCGGTTACTGTTAGAAATGCCAATCTCACTGGATGTTAATAAGAGAAGAAGTGGCCTGAGATAAGTGGGAATGTGGGAATGGTAATGAATTGGCTCTGTGATGATTGCGTACTTTAGATGGATAGCCTTTGGAAAGAAAGTGATTAGATGAGTTTGGGAGAAGCCAAGGAGAAACCCATGCTGGTGGATTGGTGCTATGAAATAGCTGCCGTGTAGTTCTTAATGAACTTCAGTGTAGAAGGTTTAGTAATACAACAACTTTGAAAATAAACCTGATAGTGTCTTAACTGGGATTTCAGTGTAAGGCACGAACAGGAATATTGTTCACAGAATCATATCATAGAATGGCCTGGGTTGCAAAGGCCCACAGTGCTCATCCAGTTCCAACCCCCTGCTGTGTGCAGGTCACCAACCAGCAGCCCAGGCTGCCCAGAGCCACATCCAGCCTGGCCTTGAATGCCTGCAGGGATGGGGCATCCACAGCCTCCTTGGGCAACCTGTTCCAGTGTACCTTGTTGTTCTTAAGCAAGGGCACGGCTGCAAACCCCAGCATTCTTGGTTTGGTAGGAAGCTTTTCTGTTTTTATATACACATACAGACACGTGAAATATCAAAAACCTTTGTTTGTAGCCTGTATTAAAGTCACATGGCCTATAGTATAGTATAGTATGGAGCAGGGACTTTCACCTTTCTTTCATCAGCTGTCCCAGCTGAACATATTTTGGAAAATGGGAGCCAGTCTTTGTTTATTAAGGCTTTGTGCATACGAATGGTCCACAATCTCTAGGCAGTAGTGCACGGAGATAAGTTTTTTTAAGTTTTGGAAGTCTGATCAGTTCAGGGGTATGGAGCGTTCTGCCTGTTCCTAGCATGCCTTTCTAGAACCACAGGATCATTCAGGTTGGAAAAGATCTCTAAGTTCACCAGGTCCATCCCCAACCCATCCCACCACTGCTCACATCCCCACACTTCTGTAACACCTCCAGGGATGGTGACCCCACCACTTCCGTGTTCCAGCCCCATCCAGTTGTATGGATGAGGATACCTTCTTTATGTGCTCCCTTTCCTGAACACCCCCTTCCCCATTCTCAACCCAAACGATTCCCTAGAGCCTACAAAACCTCAATAATAGCAATCACAATGATAATAATATCAATAGAACACAGGTAGTGAGTTTGGGTTAGTCAGGATGTATTTAGAAATCAGACTCATGAAGAAATGGAGGTGACTTCCACATGAGTGACGTGTAACAAACGGTGGTATAAATAGACCTGAATCAGAACTGTGAGCAAGAGCAGTTTTTAAGGGTTTAAAAAGGAACAGTTCTCTTTCATGGGAATCTTCCTCTCTGACCAGCAGTGTTCCTGCACCGCCCACCGGTGCTAATCCTCCTTTTCAAGGCTGCAAGAGGTGAAGGGATTAAAGCTTGTTTTCCGTGAAAGCTTTGAGTGTAGATTTCCTCAAGTTGTGGGTTTTATGGTCACAACCTGAATTTGATGTGGGCTCACTGTCCAGCTCTCCAACT